TTCACACTGAATGGAGTGCCCCGTAAGTCACTTCCTCATCATCCATATCTAGTGGCGCAATCAGCCAAAATTAAGTCCAGTAACATTCCTGACCTCTGTCGTAAACAAAATTATTGCAATCGCCTTTACAAATATGAGCACACACTTCGAGTTGAACTTATTAACTGCCGGAAGGGATGCTTAAGGTAGAGGAGGTTTGAGGGTTCCAGAAATGCGGATTAATAAGTCATTATCGCACGTTGTTAGAAACATCCGACCACACAATAGTTATCAACTGCTTTGCTCTCCATCTGACATCGGAGGCAATGAAGAGATTTAAGTAACGAGAGAGCGAAACACCTGCCGATCGACTCGACACTTCATTTTGTTCCCCTTGCATAGGAAAGGCTCTTCTACGGCACGGTCAGCAGCCCCTGCCAAACACACCTTCAAATCAGTACTTCTCGTCTGTAGTTCCAGGCGGTCCAGCTGATCGTGCAGGCATCAGGGAGGGCGACTACATCATTGAAGTGCGTCGATATTGGTAACGGTACCAGCCCAACCCTCCCTTCCCAAACATTAAACAACGAGACCTAGTAGACCACAGAATTGTGCACTAACTTGCACTCACAATTCATTTTCTTAACATTATATCCAACAAGACCCACCAGTCACGACAGAGTAGGAATCTGGAGCGATGCAGCAGATGAAAGTATCATTATCGTTGCGCCACCTACACTCCATGCACAAATTATTCTCGCAGCGTCCACAAAAAGTTTGACATTGGGGTCTTTGAGTAGCTTTGACTCCCACAGCTTCAGCGTTCAATTGTCCCTGACGTTGCCACTTAGCATCCGCTTTCACAGGATCTGATGATAGCACTCTAGAACAAAAGCATTTCAATCCTCCAATGCAGAAAATGTATTTCCTTCTTTTTAAGTTAAACTAAGCTGCAACATAGGACCCGATAGAGGCAGATCCCATGGGCTGTTACGTGCTCACGGCTCCAGGTCTGAGTGTAAAATCCAGGCAATCACATAGGCGTGACACTGGTGTTGAAGGTCCTAAGAGCGCCTGCCGGCACTACATTCTTAATGCTGCAGGAACGTGCATTGGTGGTCCCGCTAACAGTTATCAAAACGCTGTAATGAGGAGAGAGTCAAGTTTTGAGCGCCATTGCCTAGCCGCGCTTTCCCATTCCCCGATGCGCATTACAGATCGACGGACAGGACGTGAAAAACGCCTGCCACGAGGACGCCGTGGAATGCATCAAAAATTGCGGTGATTCGCTCATCATTCGGGTGATGTCGGTGTACAAGACCTCTGGCCAGCGTCAGCTAAATGGACGCTCAGGTTCGTCACTTAGAACTGGTTGGGACTTGGTGAACACATTCCCTGTGTCTAAGGTAGTCTTTACCCATCTCACACGTTTCTTTGTTTTTTTTTGCAGAATTATATCAAACCCCCCGGACTTACCGGAGACGGCGGCAGAGTGACATTGTCTGCGAAAGTAGTAGTAGCAGCAGCACTAGCAGCAACAGCATAAACAGCGACAGCGAAATCGTTGTGCGCGCCTCCGAACCTTCCATCAGAAAGAAACTGCCCATATCACAGTACAGCGAAAAGAAGTGGCGGGAGCCGTTGGGGGCAGACGCACGATCACGGAGTCGAGATCGACGCATCCGCCATCCATCAGTGCGTGCACAGTCGTATAGTGTAGGTAAAGATAGCATCCGTCTCAATGCCATCTCGCCTGCGGCGCGTTCCCAAGAGAGAGTCTACGTCTTCGAAAAAATTGATGGAAAGGCAAGTTGACAGCGATGATGTGAAAACGAGTGGACCAACGCAGGCGCATAAACCTAATCCAAGTTACAGAAAAATTAATTGCTATACAATGAGTACATAATCTTGATGCTGTTGTTTTCTTGAAATTTTAGACTCGAGCAGTACCCTTGGAGAGCTCCAGAGAACAGAAGGATGCCTCACAGAAAAGGAGCGTTGTGAGATTCGCAGGTAAACTGTGACATTGTTTTTACACTTAAAGTAGGTTGACAGGTAAGTTGTAGAGCTCCGTTCCTCTCTCAAGAGCTTTTCGCTACCTCCAAACAATGCCTGAAGGCCCAGTAAGACCAGCCACGCCTTTTATTTTAGGCAACCAAAGTGAATCGCAATCCACGGCACAGCGAAAACAGAGCCGCAGTCCAGTGAGTTGGTGAAGACGAAACATCCCTTATCTTCTATTTTAAAGCCACCTTGAGTGATTGAAAAGGCCAACTTTTACATTAGCCACTAGACTGACTTGCCTGATGTCTGAGTTTTAATAATGTTCCGACAAAAAAAAATTGCAGTACATCCAAACGTATCACCAACCTTGAGTGATGAAAAAGAAAACACGAAACGGAACACAGTAATATCAGATTGAAAGGGGTTAATCGTAATTGCACATACATTGCAGAGTTCTGGTACAGAGTCCGAACACCTCAATCACGTTCATTCAGTAGTGGCCTCCGATTGCCTCGACAGTGGCGGCGAAGCTGCTTCAACAGTTCGACCCGGTAACAAAGACATCACTTCCAAGACCTCCTCCTCCTCAGGACACGCTATGCAGCCATTCCACAGTAGTTTCTCTGTCGGTTGCCTTCAACGCATT